ATAAGAAAACAACAAAAAAAACTGTCGAAACAAAAAAACACCCCGACGATTTCTAAACTACTTTTGGACACTCCTCGTGTAGAGGGACACGCCCGACTTGAAACCCGACGTGCTGCTCCGCGGCAGGGTCCGTCCCCGCCACGCCGCGCGCGCGCGCTCCTGCTCTCGCCGCTATAGTGGCAGGGCGCTCCGCCGCGAGGCAATAAGCCCGTGCGCAAACTCATCGCACCACACTTCTGGAGTCTGCTCCGGCACCCTTGACGAACAAAAAGTATCGTTTTTGTTCTTCGCTGTTCTGCCGATCGGCGCGGGCCCCCAAACCCCCCCTCCCCCACCCCGTGGAGTAGATCTTGGCTGCTTTTGGCGCTCGTTTCGAGCTGGCGGAGTCTCCCCCAGAGGCAGCACTCTTGCAAAGCAGTCGCACTAAGCAGAGGTCTGGAGACAGACCCCCCCTCACCCCCCCCCTTTCCGCCCAATGTCGAAACGCCGAATGCGCCGGCCCCCTTGTGGGGCCACCAGGCTGCGAGGCGCGTGATTCGCAGTTTCCTGTACCAGTCGTAGGTTGTAGTTTCCAGTGTTACAGTTCTGCTTCTTGCTGGTTACTGTAACTAGTTGACTTTTTGCTGGTTACTGTAACTAGTTGATTGACCGCGCAAGGGGGGGGGAGGCCCAAACAAGATTTTTAGCCTCACCTGGGCGCGTTGTCTGAATTGCTGGGGGGGCTCGATTTCGACACCCCTCACGCAGATCCGCGGGGTCAGGGTCCAAAAACACAAGGGATTTGCCACATTTCTCAAATTCGGTGCCACCCCTCACGCAGATCCGCGGGGTCAGGGTCCAAAAACACAGCAGATTTGCTACATTTCTGAAATTCTGCGCCACCCCTCACGCAGATCCGCGGGGTCAGGGTCCAAAAACACATGGGATTTGCTACATTTCTGAAATTCGGTGCCACCCCTCATGCAGATCCGCGGGGTCGGGGTCCAAAAACACAGAGATTTGCCACATTTCTCAAATTCGGTGCCACCCCTCACGCAGATCCGCGGGGTCAGGGTCCAAAAACACAAGGGATTTGCCACATTTCTGAAATTCGGTGCCACCCCTCACGCAGATCCGCGGGGTCAGGGTCCAAAAACACAGGGATTTGCCACATTTCTGAAATTCGGTGCCACCCCTCACGCAGATCCGCGGGGTCAGGGTCCAAAAACACAGGGGATTTGCCACATTTCTGAAATTCGGTGCCACCCCTCACGCAGATCCGCGGGGTCAGGGTCCAAAAACACAAGGGATTTGCCACATTTCTGAAATTCGGTGCCACCCCTCACGCAGATCCGCGGGGTCAGGGTCCAAAAACACAAGGGATTTGCCACATTTCTGAAATTCGGTGCCACCCCTCACGCAGATCCGCGGGGTCAGGGTCCAAAAACACAGGGGATTTGCCACATTTCTGAAATTCGAACCCATCACGCACATCCATCGCAAGGCGTGGTAACCCAAACTGCGAGAACTCCCTCGGCCCTTTAATCGCAAGGTGTGGTAACCAAGCCCTTAAACCATACACGTCTTACCAATCGCCAGGTGTGGTAACCCCTCTTGTGATCAGTTGGTTTTGCTGATTGCGACTCGGCTTCGCATGAAGTTTCGATACTGCTTCACGACAGCGCCAAGGCCTCATGACTTAGCTCTTCCATGGCCCATTCTCCGAGAGAGGGGGCCGGCGGCAGGGGGCGAAGCCCTTACGGATAAAAAAAAAAACGCTCAACACGGGCCGCGACAGGGGTGCGGAGGCAGCAGCGCCCGAGCCCAAGGCCGAGGACAGGATTGAACACCCCTCCTTTGCGTCAACTAGCGTTCTCGTCTCCCCGAGGGCTCGGGAAGGCCGCCCCGAAAGAGGTCTCTTCCATCGCTCCTGGAGCTGCCGTGCAGCACTCTTGGGCTGCGTCGAGGCTCTGATTGGAGCTTTTGGAGGAGTCTTGGAGCGTCTCGGGTGGATCTGGCAGCTGTCTTGAGCTGTCGTCACGCGACATGGGGGGAATCCGAAAATCCTACACAAAACAACTGGAAAATCCATGATTTGAGACTTCGAGCGGTCTTCTCAGTGATCCTGGGCCGTTCGGGACGCTTCCACGTGGATTCTTGAAAGCCTCTGGGGCGATCTTCAGGCGATCCGGGCGTCTTGCAGCGCTCGCCGGTCGGTCGACTCGAAAGGCGTCTTCTACTAGCGTGGAAGCCGCGAACAAAATTTAACACGGTACCTCCGTGTTAAATCACGTCCGCGCGTCGCCGACGGTTCACGAACCGCTCTGGAGCGATTCTGGATCCATTTAATCCCCAAGCTCTTTTCGCACGCAGGGGCGCCTGCAATGTAGGTAAGATGACGTTGGGCTTCAGTTTCGCCTCCCACATCTCGCTCAGAAGCGCCAGAGCCCGCTGCCACTGCTCGCCCTTCTCGCACGCGCTGATCCCAGCATTATAGCTGACTGTAATGACCCGTGGCCTACCGGCCACGCAATTAGAGATGGCACGTTGGACCAGGGCGGAGATGTTGCCGAAAGGCTTGCGCGATGACAACGGGTCCGAACATCGCCTCAGCTGTTGCTGCTTGCAGCTGCCAGGTACTGCTGCCTGCGGCATGTTGCTGCTGCTTGCTTTTGCTGTGCTGCCGTTGCCTTCTGCGTAGCTGACTAGAACCCGTGGACTACCGTCCACGAATGCCTCTGGACAGAATGTGTTTTCTGCTGCTCATCGCTTCTGTGTGCGCTGTTTGCTTGATGATTATGACGGCGTTCAGATCATCGCTAGCAGTACCAGCGGCAGCAGATCCAGATGGGCAGTGGCAATAGCAGACGCAGCAGCAGCAGCAGCAGCAGCAGCAGCAGCAGCAGCAGTGCGGCCCCAGTGCCAGCGGCAGCAGCTCCAGCGGAAAAAGCAGGAGCTCAAGGAGGAAGCCCAAGATGATTGGAAAAAACGCATACACACACACATACACACACACACACACACACACACATCTTGGGACACGCTCTGCGCGGGAGGGGTCGCAGAAACAGCGTTCCCGGGTGTCCGCGGCTGGATCGGGAAGCTGTTTTCTGCAACCCATTCGCACGAGAAGTGTCTCAAGAGGTATGGGGCTAGTTGTTTCCAATCATCGGGTGCTTTCTAGGGGCCTATCGCAGCCATTTGGAAGGACCTGGAGGCCTTCTGGAAGCCTGTAGGGTGCGGTGTTTCCCAATCAGCTGGGGCCTTCTAGGAGCATGTCACAGCGTTTCAAGGGAGCTGCTGGAGACTTTCTGGGAACCTCCGGGGAGTCCCGGAGACCGTCTGGGAGCCTGGGCATATCAGGGGCTTGTTAGCCGTGGTGGGGGGGGCGGGAGGCTGGCTCTGTTGGGCCTCCCTCGGGACCGTCTTCGGGGGCTGTTCCGCCGTGTTGTGAATCCCCGGAGCCGTCGTGAGGGTCGCCAGGGCCGTCGCAGCGGCTCTCTGGGGGAGCTCCCCGAGCGCCCTCTGGACGGGTTGAAGGCTCTCGGGGTGGGTTGGGCGTCTTCTGGCCAGCAGAGCGATCGCAAGAGGAAGGGTGAACGAGCAGCGGGGATGTCGACACTGCTTCGTCCTCGTGGCCCTCTCAGAGGCCATATGGACCTGGTAGGAGACTTCCTGGGCCGTCTGGGAGCCCTCTTGCGCCGCACATGGGCGCTCCAGGGGCCTCTCGGGCTAAGTCGAGCGTGTCCCTCTACAGGGGGAATACTCCAAAATAGTAAAACAAAAAATATAGTCTGTCTGGGGACGATTCTTCAACTATCTCTGAGTACTTTCGAATATGTTGGGGGGGTTCATGAGTTTTCGTCCAACGTCCCCCTGTCCGCGGCCCGTTCGCGACCTCCCGCCGCTGGCGCTTCCGCCTGCGGCTGTAAATAATAATAATAATAACAACAATAAATATAATAATAATAGTTAAATAATAATAATAATAATAGTAATATTAGGAGAGAAAAAACAATATATATATACTGATATATATATATATATATATATTTATTATTATATATTATATATATATAAAAAAAAAAAAAAAAAAAAAAAAAAAAAAAAAAAAAAAAAAAAAAAAAAAAAAAAAAAAAAAAAAAAAAAAAAAAAAAAAAAAAACGTCCCCTGTATAGGAGGACGTGCCCGACCGAGCTCCCGGGGCCCGCGCGGGGACCTCGCCTGGGCAGGACGTGGGCGCCCCCCACGGGCGGCACAAGCGCAGAGGCCGCCACGGCGGGCCCGCCGGGCGGAGTCCATGCCGCCCCATCCTGGCACGCACATGTGGACGCCCGAAATGGGTACTGAAAGAATGGGTACTATGCCCAACAGCAGTTCCTGTTCATTTTGAACAAGATCCGCTGTCCACGCCGCCGCGGCCTGTGTCCATTCGAGACAGGAGGCCGCCTGCCCAACAGCGGCCGCTGTCGGTTTGGGACAGCACTTGTTGTTGGGCATCGTGCCCATTCTTTCGGTGCCCATTTCGGGTGTCCAAAGCATAGGAGCCCGGTGTCGTTAGAGGCTTAACGGCTTCTGACGTCCTTCGACTCGCGCTGGAGCGGCCGCGAGTGGCTCCAGCTTTCCCTGGAGATCTTTGGATTTGCTTGGATTTGCTCGGACTTCTCTCGATGTGCCTGGATTTGCCTGGATTGACTTGGATTTATCTAAATATACCTGGATTTATCTGGCTCGATCCCCACAAGTCGATTGGCGAAAAGTCGACAAGCCCTTAGGGACGGTGGTGGCACAGACTCGGAGGCCAAAAACTGCCGGGAGGTCTTCGTCGGGAAGGGCAAAGAGGATCAAGCCCCACTGGGGGGCTGTTACGCCAGAGTGGGCCTCGGCCTACGCCGGATTCAGCGGGATCAAGCGGGATTAAGCCGGATTAAGCGGGATGAAGCCGGATTAGGCCAGATTAGGCTGGATTTCGAACCAGGGCAAAAACAGAATTTGTCTCCAGGAGTTGCATCCGAAAATAGAAATGACGTTGGGCTCCAGCTTCGCCTCCCACATCTCGCGCAGCAGCGCCAGTGCCCGCTGCCACTGCTCGCCCCTCCCGCACGCGCTGATCCCAGCGTTGTAGCTGACCAGGGCTGGCCCATGGGCTACGTCTACGAAATCTGCACCAACTGGCACGCGGTTGTGGACGTGCTGCCTCAAGGCTGACATGATGACGTGGGGCTCGAACATCGCATTCCGCGCACGCCGCTGCGTGCTGCTGCTTGATGTCGCTGCTGCCTGCTGCTGGTAAAATGCTTACCGCTGCTGCTTGCTGCTGCTTCTTGTAGCTGCAGGGTGCTGCTGCTGGCCAACTCTCCCCTGTGCGTGCTGCTGCCCGCTGCCTGCTGATACTGCTCGCTGCCATTGTGCGCTCCCGCTGCTGGCGCCCGCTTCGCGCTGCTGTCGTTCGCTGCTGCTGCTGATGTTGCTGCTGCTGCTGATGATTGATGATTGATGCTGCAGAGTGATGCTTCTCGCTATCTCAGTGTTCTGACGCAACCTGCTGCCAGAATAGGATCAAAGAGCGCGGAGTCAGGATCGAGAACATCGAGGAGATCGAGGAGGAGATGCGATGGGCGATAAGCGAAGAGCGAGGAGCGAGAAGGGAGGAGCGACGGCCCGGGGAGATGAGCGAGGAGCGTCGAGGTTCGATGCGGCTCGTCGTCCTTGTAAACCTCTGGGGGCTGTTTTCGGGCTCTGGGGTAGTCAAAAATCGATCCGGCATGAGACACCAGTCTGGACAGACCCCCCACAGGGTGTGGGGCCCGATTCCTCCATGGTGTCGTCGATTTTCTTTGTTGGGGTGGAGGCTAGAGGGGTCGATGTCTGCTGCCCGTTTACTTGGACTGCTTGCTGCTAGCGCTGCTCACGAACAATTTCCCTGGTTGTGTTGGCTTGTTGCTTGCTTTCTGCTCGAAAGCTGAAAAAGAGAACCTCCTGGGCTGGATCTAGGCTGTCTCATGGCTTACTTGCGGCTTCTCGGGCTACGTTGGAGCCCGGCTGGGCCTTCGGGAAGGTGAAGGGCCGCGGGACGGTGCGTCCTGGGCCGCCCTGGGACGATCCTGAACCGCCTTGGGGCGATATCAGGGCCAAGGCAGGACATTGAGAAGCGCACGCGCGCCTCTGTCTAAACAGTGTTCCGGCGCGGCTGCGGAGAATGCGCGCGGGCTGCGCAGGCTCGGAAGAAGGCAGAAGGCACTGCGGCGCATGCCCCCGGCGGCTGGCGGTTCTGGAGCACTCTCAAAGAGAACTCCCCGACGAATCGCCCAGTCAGACTGGAGCCGCCCCATTGAAGGGAGGAAAAAAGGAAGCACCTCAGTGCCGAATGGGTGGCTGACGAGGTCCCGGAGCTCTCTAAGGGATCTTCCACCGGACGCCTCTGGGACGCCGCTTTGGACATGTCTTCGGGTTTCTCAGGGGCCTCTTTTGGCTTGATGTAGGTCTCGTGCGAGCCTCCTTGGGCTTCTGGGGAGCCTTTCGAGCCCTGCTGGCGGTCTCGGAGGTCCCCTTGGGTCGGAGAGCGCGGAATGTCAGGTCGAGCTCCCCTTGTTGGGGCCCTCTTGGCCCACCTTGTGGGCTGTTTGGGCGGTCTTGGGGCCCCCATTGGGCCTTCTGGGAGCCCTTTGGAAGGCCTGCTGGCCGTGTTGGGGCGACCTCTGGAGCGTCGGAAGCCCGAACAAGCGAGAACGCCAAAATCACCGGCAAACCAAACAAAAACAATTATTGCGGCTTTGGGGGGCCCTCTAGGACAAGCCTCTTGGAGCCCTCTTGGGCCGTCTTGGCCTCTAGGGCCGCTTGATACGACTTGATCATCGCAAGCTAACTTTGTTATCGAAGACGCCGGCGGCGAATCACCGCCGCCCCCTGCCTTTTGAAATCGCCCATGTGGCCGATTATTGTGTCAGGAGCTCTGCCAAACTATCGGACCATGCGATTCCCCCAACCGTTGTGGAAACCCTTCGGGGAACGTTTGGGGGAGGATGGCGGGAAGACCAGAAGGAGGAGGAGGAGGAGGAGGAGGAGGAGGAGCAGGAGGAGGAGGGGGCATCTTGGAAGCATCTGGGGGCACTCTTGGGGCCTCCTGGGAGCTTTCTGGGAGCCTCTTAGGGGCATCTTGGGGGCCTCCTTGGGCCTCTTGGTGGCCTTTGGGGGCTTCTCGGAGGTCTCTTTGGCCGTCTCAGGGCATTCCTGGCCCGTCTGACGACATCGGAAGCCGTCTTGAAGGCATCACTGGGCCGACCTGAAACCTTCTTGGGATGCTCCAGGGCCGTCTTGGAGGCCATCTTGGGCGTCTTGGAGGCCTCTTAGGCCGTCTGGGTGCCCTCTTGGAGACGTCTTAGGGGCCTCTTGGGCCGTTCTGGGACCATCCTGGAGGCCGTTTGGGCGATCTTTCTGGGCTCTTGGGTCGTCTCGGGCCGTCGGAAGGCCGAAAAGAAGCAAATGTCGAACTCCTTCAAACACCTACGGCAAATCAATGATTTGGGCCTCTTCGGGCCTTCCTGGAGGCCCTATTGGAGGCCTCTTGGGCCGTCGTGGAGCTCTCTTGGGGGCCTCTTGGGCCGTCTTGGGCCATCTCAGAGTCATCGTGGGCCGTCTTGGTGGGCTCCTGGCCCGTCCGACGCCGTCGGAAGCTTTCTTGGGGGCCTCTCTGGGCCAACTGAGGGCCCTCTTGGAGTGCTCCAGGGCCATCTTGGAGGGACCGTCGGAAGGCCGGGAAGAAGCAAATGCCAAAATCCTTCATATTGACCTCTTCGGGCCTCCCTGGAGGACTCTTGAAAGTCTCTTCGGCCGTCTCGGGCCATCTCGAGGCTATCTTAAACCGTCTTGGGTGCATCTTGGGACGTCTCGGTGGCATCCTGGGGCCATCTTAGCCCTCTCGGAGGCCATCGTGGCCATCTTGGAGGCATCTTGGCTCGAAATGTCCACCCGAGGGCCCGGGGGCCGAGGGTTCAAAAAAACAAGCACCAAACAAAAAAAATCCGTTCGTTCCCCATCTGGGCCCCCTCTTGGGGCCGTCTTTGGGCCCTTTTGGGTCGTCCTGGGCACCTCTTGGGCAATCTTGGGACCCTTTGGGGGGCCTTTGGGGCCGTATTGGGGCGATTTTGGGGGCCTCGTGGGCCGTCGCAGAACGTCGGGAAGCAGAAAAGGCAAGAACGCCCTTCAAAAACCTTGGAAAATAATTGATGTTTGCCTCTTGGGGCCCTCTCGGGAGGCCTCTTGGAAGCCTCTCTGGGCGTTTGGGAAGCCTCTTGAGCTGTCATAGGGCCATCTTGGGCGTCTCGGACCGATCGTTTGGAAACTCGGTGCCCTCGTGGTCCGTCTTGGGAGCCTCTCGGGGCCCTCTGGGCCCGTCTTGGAGCCCTCTTGGATCCGAAAAAGTCACGCGGGGAGACGCGCCGAAGCCCAGAGAGCACGCGGGAAGCCTCAAGAGTTTGGGAAATTGGTGCCCTGGCCCCTTCAGGACTCCTCAGGAGTGAGGATTGAGGCTAACAGGATTGGGCCCAGGAACTGAGGACACGCCCACTCCGCGCCCAGCGGCACGGTGGCGGACTTGGGGCCACAATGGCTACATCCGCCACCTTGCCTTTGGGCACGGGGTGGGCGTGTCCTCAAGTCCTCTGCCTGATTCCTGGAGTCTCAACCCTCAATCCTGAAGGGTCTTCAGGGGGCCCGGACCCAAAAATCCGAAATCTCTCGGGGCTCCCGCGTGCCCCCCCTGGCTCCCGCGCGTTTCCACGCTCGAGTTGTTCAGGCCTGAAAGGGCCCCGAGACGGGCCAAGAGGGCCCCAAGCGGCCTCCAAGACGGTCCAAGAAGGCCCCGAGACCCCCAAAGATAGGCCCACGATGCGCATAACAGCCTCACAACGGGCCAAAACGCCTCCAAGACACCGAGGCCTCCGAGACGCCTCCCAAGAGGGCCCGAAGAGGCCAAAGTCATTCACTGCCCGCAGGTTGTTGAAGGATTTTGGCGTTCTCGCCTTTTCGGCTTCCCGGCGCTCAAGGACGGCCGAAGAGGCCCCCAAGACCACCCCAAAAAGGGGCCCAAGAGGAGGAACACGAAATGAAAATCCGAGGCCTCCGCCACATAAGGCCCCCAGGAGCCACCAAGACGCGCCCAGGATGCCACAAGAGGCTCCCAAGAGGCCCCGAGAAGGCCCTAAGAAGCCCCCAAAAGACCCAGAGGCCCCAAGAGGCCCAAGAGGCCTCCAAACTGCCACCAAGATGCCCCCGAGAGGCCTCCCACAAGATCCCAACGAACACCCAATGGGCTTCATGCCCGCGACCCAGGCACGGGGGCGCGATGGGCCGAAGGCCCTCAGATACTGTCCTGAACAACTCCTCTGGGCAAGCTCTGGACTCACACGCATCATGCTGCACACTCTGAGCTGCGACGCTACCCGGGCTATAAATCTCGACATGCCCCCTCAGCTAGCAGGCGTACAAATCCAGAAAAGCACGGCCCCAGGAAAACGACCACCGCCTCGCAAAGATCATTCCGCCGAAACTCTCGGGCATACATTCGATCGCGTAGCTCCTGCCCAGGAGAACTCGGGCGCACGGCTCGCGCCGAGTCCCCAGACGAGAAAATTCATCACCCTCGAAAGCTCGAGGTCTGTATTCGGGCTGTCCTCGACGAGCCCCTCTCCGCGGCCAGCCCTTCGAAACCACCGCGTAGCAACCTGCCCACTGGGGGCGCATGATTGTCAACATCTGAAACGCCCATCATGATCTCGCCCGAAACCTGACGTCACTGATCATGTCAAAATCCACAATAGCATTGCCTTTGTTTTTGCTAGCTCCGCTCTGGATGTCCTAGAGTCTGGCCTTCTCTGAGTCGCCCACGTCGTAGTCGAGAGCGAATGTCATCTTGCAAGCGTTGCCATGGCTGCCCGAGTCGAGCATCACGTACTCAACGTGATCCTCCTTGGTGCCGGTCACGCTGGAACTGGGTCCATCAACACCGCATGCCCAAGGCTCCTCCGCAGTCTCGCACCCTATAGGATAACGTCGGGCACCTGCCGCCACCAAGGGTTGTCCGACTCCCAGCGCTCATAATTCCGTTTTTCATCGGGCCACCTGGGCATGGCCAGTC